TAATAATAATAATAATAAATGATATTTATATAGCGCTCAACCCCGATTAAAGATACACAGGCTCTTAGGGCTTTGATTCTTGTAAATCTATCAGCTGATTGATCACATCAACTAGCCATGATCTTTTGTGCGCAAAAACAAAGAAAAGAAAGACAGAGAACGAAAAGAAAAAAAAGAAATAGAAATAATGAAGCGAAAAGAAAAAAAGAAACAAACGACAGTGGTTTAAAAAACAAAAAAGAAGCAAAGATACAATGAGGCAAAGAAACAACACCCAAAAAAAAATTTGAAAAAGAAACAAAGAGAAAAGGAAACAAAGACATAGATTTACACACACAAAGTTCTTTAAAAGCCCAGAAAATAAAGAAACAATAAAGAAAGCTAAAAGCCGTACCATTTTCGAAACAACAAGTCCAGAAATAATTTCAGGTTCAGTTCCTTCACCACAGCAGAATATTAATACAATCGAACCTGCCATGACAACCTCCTGTATAATACGGCCACCTATACAAATGGCCACTTTCCATTTCCGCACTTACGTTTTTTTCTATATTATTATTACATTTTCACTGTGTGAAACAGGCACCTGTCCAACGCAGCCGCCATATTATTTTACCCCACAAACATTATCACACCAAAGAATATCAACTGTCTCAGACGGCCACCCCTCTCATCTCCCGACGTTTGGTCATAAATAATTGGTCGCTTTTAAGGACAAGCGGGCTAACCCAGTTTCGGGGTTTTCCAGAAATCTTGACTTACACCAAAAGTGGGCATGGCCCTACCTATATGAGAAGTTTGGTTTCATTGGTGTGTATATTTGGCTATAGAGAAAACTCTCCTTGTCTTTTAAAGAAACTGAACAACAACGGCCCAAAAACTTAACCTTCGATTTTCTCAAAACAGCATTTTTCGGGATAGCCCCCTTGTGCTTAGAAGTGACTAATAATGTAATGGCCACTGACGATTTTGACGAGCCGCTATAAACCAATCCCCTGTCGTTGTTGTTTATGTTAGAGACAGTCCCTCCAACCGATCATGTTGTGTAAGCCCTTCCCACTGTTGACCCATAAATCGGTAACAATAAATTTTCTGCTGCTGATGAGGTAAGCGTGTGATCACTCATAACCCATAAGCCCCGCCCACAACTCCTACACAAATCGTAAGTGAGGTGACCGGTCACTGTTTACTCAGTCTGTAACAAAGTAACAATGGACGTCAACATGAACTTGCGACAGAAGCATCGCTCGTTCTCCGAGTGGTGTCGACCCATGTGTTTGTTTTAACACGGCGCTCGGTCATCCTTGTCTGACACATTTCGCTTTATTGTCACCCTAGCCCAAAATTAGTAACATAATTAAAAAGCTAACGAAAAAAACCCAACAAAAACAACAATAACAATGCAGCTACCCTCGGTTGGGATCTCGAAGGGAATAGTTTTCTTTCTTCATTTTGATCAGTCCTGCCTTAGACGGACACTAGTCTTACAATGCCACTTTTCTCCTTGACAATGGGTGGCTGTCTTACACACGTTCGACTGTACTTTTTAAACTTGTATAATTACAAAGACCTTACTGACCGCTTTATGTCAACATCTCTTCACATTAAATCTATTCTTTTTTCCCCCTAGAGCATCTTCATCAACCGCTCGATGACTATCTGGCCATCTTTGAAGGAAAAGTCAAGCTAGTGCGCATGTCCAATAGGTCGGGTCTCATCAAGGCACGATTGGCTGGTTTTGATCACGTGACTGGTGACGTCGCTGTATTCCTGGACGCTCACTGTGAGGTCAATGCAGGTCAGTGGGGACTAATAAATTATAAATTATGAAAAGAAAAAGTCGACGCTTTTGAAGAAAAAGTTTGCCTAAATTTAAACAGTGGAAATACTTTCAGCCTGTTTGTGAGTGAAAGCACACTGCGTGTAAGTGCATATTTGTGTGTGTGTGTGTGTGTGTGTGTGTGTGTGTGTGTGTGTGTGCGTGTGTGTGTGTGTGTATGTGTGTGTGTGTGTGTGTGTGCGTGCGTATGTGCGTGCGTATGTGCGTGTGTGCGTGCGTATGTGCGTGTGTGCGTGTGTGTGCGTGTGTATGTGTGTGTGTGTGTGTGTACGTGGTGAAACACCAAACCAATGTGCCAGGATCTGGACAATAAAGATGTATATCATCTTATCGTATCTACTGTAATAACACCAAGGATGCCACAACTGGTTGAGCCTCAATCTGTACTCTTTTTCTTATTTCTGTATGTCTGTCTCGCTTTACTAAGCACTGAATGACCGTTCATTTGCAAGCATGGTTCTCTTTATGAATACTGATACTAAAATTTCTCCCTTCTAAAAAGTACAGTTGTTCCCGTATCCAATCCGGACATTGGGGATTGCCTTGTTACTGAGACAACTTCCTGGGCCTTTGGCATATTGTGGTAGGGCGGCCAGTTCCTTTCCACGCCGTCTTTACTTCCCCAACTCGAAGTCAGGTATCCATTACTGCTAGGTGGGCAGGAGGGGGCGAAAAAAATATGTGTCCGAACCGAGGCTTGAGCCCGGACTTTCCACTTCGGAGACGAGCGCACTAATCGCTCGCCACACCACCCTCTGCTGTCAATAAAAATTGAATCATCTTTCTTTTTTGTCCCTTTCTTCCGATTGGCTAGAGCCACACACCCTTCTTTTCCCAGCGCTAAATGACCGTTATTTTTCAAGAGTGCAACTCGTTATTCACACCCAAATCCAAATTCCCCTCCATGATCAATAAAAGTGATTAATTTTAAAAAATCTTTTTCTTTCCTGCTCTATTTTTCTTCTTCTCTTTCTTTTTTTCTTCTTTTAACAGTTTTCAAGGCTGGTTCGAGCCTCTCATTCATCTTATCTTTGAAAGCAAAACAAACTCAAAAACCCAAATTTCCCCTTAGCAGTCGACATAATTGGAATTTTAGAAATATATTTCTTTCCTCTTTTTTTCCCTCTATTCTCAATGCTGGCTTGAATCACTTCTCGTCCACATTTTTATTTCCAAACCTTAAATTATGGCTATTATTTTTGCAAGCATGCTTCTCTTATCTTTTTTCAAACTTCGCAATCAGTGGCTATTATTAATTTACATACGTGTTGTAATATACTCTTAAGCCCCTCTACTGTCAATAAAAGTGGAATGTTCGTTTCTTTTCATTTTTACTTTTTTATTGCTTCTTCTTTGCTTCAGGATAACATCTTTTCTTGTTTCTTTCCTTCTCTTTTATTTTCTTTATTATTGTTTGTTTAAAAGAAGAAATAGAAAGGTGGTTTCGTAGGAGACTGCTGAGAATATTCAAGGTAGGAACAGAAACTACATTAGGGAGTACTTGATGCCCACGTGGGACGCTCACATATGAAAACAGTCAGAAAAAGACAAATGCCGTTTTTAGGACATCTTAAGAGACATAAAGGTCTTGAACTTCTAGCTCTCACTAGCAATACTGGAGGCAAAAAAGCAGGGCTTAGGGTAGACCCAGAGCAGCCTACTTAGGGAAGCTAAACAGATTGGTAACAGGGAAAAATCAGAGCAATTCAGTTTTTAAAGAGCATCTGAAGAAAAGAATGAATGGAGAACCAAGACCGTCGATGTCAGCTGTAGATCTGGTACTTGATGATGATGATGATTTTTTGTTTGTTTCCTTAATGGGCCTGACGGACTTCCCAGAGAAATCTTCGAGCGAGAGCGAGGCTCTTTTTCGGCTCCATTGTCAATATGCTTAGCGGCACCTCCACTCGTCCAAATAACTCCATTCGAATTGCCATTGTTCCTGGACATTCAAACATGTTTGGTATCCTCCTTTTCATGGCCGCATCTTCGGCAACATGGGCTGACCTCTTCATTTACAAAGTTCTTATACCATCTTAAACTCCAATGATGGTCCGACCGCAGTCTCGTTAGCTCAACCTGGTCCCAGCGACATGTGATATATTTTTGTTCCCGCTTATAGGAGTACCCAGAATACACATCTTTCAGGTGCTGGTACTTAGTTCTACATGGTGGGTCTCTGATTTCTCTCTTGATTATTGGAAAGACTCCTCTGTATGTCGTTGGTCGTCTGTCTCCTTCGATCTCTCTGGCTTCATTAGCAGCTTGGTCTGCTGCCTCATTTCCTTCTATTCCAACATGGCTTGGAATCCACTGAATCCACTGATGATGATGATGATGATGATGATGATGATGATGATGATGATGATGATGATGATGATGATGATGATGATGATGATGATGATGATGATGATGATGATGATGATGATGATGATGATGATGATGACGACGACGACAACGATGATGATGATGACGTTTGTTCCTTTCTCCAGGCTGGCTGGAACCCCTCCTTCAACGAGTCAGCGAGGACTACACTGTGGTGGCTGTGCCCGCGACTGACGTCATCGGCTGGCAGGACTCTGCCTACCACTTCGAGCCTACCCAGAAGCAGCTGAGGGGAGGCATGGACTGGAATCTCATCTTTAACTGGATGTCTATGACACCGCCCGACGGAAGGGAGAGAAAGACCTGGGCAGATCCTGTCAAGTGAGTGGGAGATAATTAAAGTTTGTTAGGCATCGCGGTGAAATAAGGCGCTCGTCAAAATAATAACTTCGGCACTTCTATGACCTAATTGTGTCACAAGTGCCGTGAAACACTTACTAAAACTAAAGAACTCAGGCTTCCTGTGTGTGCATGTTCTCTACTCAGTAGCACTAAGGTCGTCTGTGGGTGTGTGCGTGTGTGTGTGTGTGTGTGTGTGTGTGTGTGTGTGTGTGTGTGTGTGTGTGTGTGTGTGTGTGTGTGTGTGTGAGTGTGTGTGTGTGTGCATATTCTCCACTCAGTTAAGAACTCATGCCTTCTGTGTACAACGGTAAAGAACCTAACCGCTACACCACAACTCCAAGTAGACAATAATGAGTGCTGCAATTTAGAAGCAGAGATAATTAATTGTAAATCACGTTAATAAAAGTAAAATGTAATTAATTCCAGTTCGAGTACAGTAGATCTATTTATGAGACAAATGGGAATTTAGGTCGTTGAAAGAAAAGGCACAACGAATAATTGATATACTACGAGAAAAACTTTTCACACACACAGAGTTGGAGTTTGAATTTAATTGAGTAAAACCCTTCTAACAATGAAAAATTTCCACTCGACACACGGCTTAGCATAATAATATTAATACATGCAAATGAGGTAGTTTTTCGCATTTCGTCTATCTTCACCGCCAATACACACCCTACTTTGCAGCTGCACTAAGCAAGTTTTAAAGAAATTTATTGTTTTTTGTTTTTTATCGTTTTCTTTCTTTTAAAAAAATTTAAATTGTTTTTAGTGTGCGGGAATGCAACAACGAGAAATCCCATCAAATTAGCAGCGTAGGAATAAATTAACTCTTATGATGCACGGCGCACTTGTTCAGCTGTCTCGCATCGCTGGGTTATGTACAGACTTAACAAACATTTTAGTTTAGTTTTAGTAGAGATTTTACGGAGCTCGCAACTACATAAGGTCATATGAGCGCCAAAAGATTAGAGGCGTTACAAGAGAGTAACAAACATAAAAAATAAGATATATGATATCTTATTTTTACAGTCTGATCCTCACTTCAAAATTGTATGTCACTGTGTCGGAGAAAGATCTGCAGCCACGAGAAAGCAAAAAGAGAAGTCGATTTTAGAAACAAGTGACATAGGCCTACAGGTTTCTTGAACTGAATCGTCGAGGTGACCAGTCGTCTCTCTCCCCCAAAATGCCCACTACCACCATCACGTGACCCATTCTCTCCCCCAAAATGCCCACTACCACCATCACGTGACCCATTCTCTCCCCCAAAATGCCCACTACCACCATCACGTGACCCATTCTCTCCCCCAAAATGCCCACTACCACCATCACGTGACCCATTCTCTCCCCCAAAATGTCACTACCACCATCACGTGACCCATTCTCACCCCCAAAATGCCCACTATCACCATCACGTGACGCATTCTCTCCCCCAAAATGCCCACTACCACCATCACGTTACCCATCCCCCCCCCCAAAAAAAATGCCCACTACCACCATCACGTTACCCATCCCCCCCCCCATAAAGCTACAAAATAGCCATTTTTCTTTCCCCCCCCCCCCCCCCCCCCAAAAAAAAAAAGTTCCCACTACCACCATCACGACCCAATTGTCTCTCTCCCCCAGAATGCCCACTCACCTCGGCTGCTGCTTCGCCGTATCCAAAAACAACTTCAACCGTTTGGGCGGCTATGACCCAGAACTCCAAATCTGGGGATGTGAAAACATGGAGCTCTCTTTCAAGGTGGTTGAATAGAAATCTTACTTACTTTACTTACTTGGTTGGAGAATAGGTATCATTGCAGGCGGCACAATGCCATAACTGCTCCTCCCTCCTCTCCAGGATCCTTGAAAGGGTCAGCTAGTTGATATGCCAGTTAACAGCTGGTTGGATATTCTTCTGGCTTTTCTACGCAGATTGCTGTCTCTCCCTGACCCTCTACAGACACCAGCTGCGTTTCCTTTAGTCTATCCATTGTGTGTGAAGTGGTGCCTTCAGGATAGAATTCGCTACCTCCGAATTACGAAGTTCTGTCTGCTCACTACCTAGTTTTGAGAAGTTTGACGTCAATTTGTTGTTTTTTTTAGTTTCAAAATATGTAACGTTTTTTGCCATGCAATTCTATGAATATTTTGATATAATGACTCCGATTATTCTTACGATTTTGATTGAGCAGGTAGAGATTTGGCTTTCTGACCTCAAGAATATCTCAAGATGGCTAAAAATATCAGATAGTATTTTGAATTTCTGAGGTAGCGAAATGTCGGTCAGCTAGATCAGATGTGCTAACTTACTAATTGATCACTTTTAAGCAGAAGGGGGCTATCCCGAAAAATGCTCTTTTTAGAAAATCGTAGGTAACGATTTTGCTTCCCAGTTCAAGAATCATCAAAACTGCTACAGAAAATGCATGGAAAATGTATGGCGAGAAACTGACCAAAATCTGTAAGGAAAGCCCAAGAGAATTTTTTTAAAGTGTGAAGAGCATGCAGATAAGGTAAGACCCATACAACCCGACATGCATTATAAATGATAAAGAGGGAAACGCCATTCTCGGCAAACATGCAATCAAGAAAAGATGGGAAAATTACTTCCAAGAACTGCTCAACCCAGACGCTTGCTACGGACAACAAGTAGAGTTCCAACTATCCTACGGAAATCAAACAGATCCACTAATACTTCTCAGTGAAATAGAAAAAGAACTCAAGACCAGCCCCAAGAACAAAGCCCCAGGACCAGATGACATCACAGCGGAAGCCATAAGAGCTTGTGGAAACACGGTATACTGTGGCTGCGGCGTAAAATCTTCGACACATTTATGACCGTATTGTGTTGCAAGGGCCGTAAAACTTTTACTAAAACTAAACTAAAATACCTTACATTATGATATTATTCTACGTTGTGCTCTCTGGCTGATTTCTGGTTCATTATGGTGTGCATCATTTATTGTTTTAGTTTGAAACTAAATGAAGAGCAATGGGCAATGGTGTCGTGTGCTTTAATTGACAATACCAACCTTGATGTTTTGTTCTTTTTTGTTGAGGGGGTCAGTACCGTTATACTTCAAGGAAAATGCAACACGTTTTTGGTGTTTAAGTAAAACTCGAACCCTCTCATTCTTATAGCAAGCTAGTGGCATCTTTTGTGGCATGAAGTAGCAGAGTGTAGGAGGGGCACACTCCTTACCTCGTGTCTTGTCTTGTGTGTAGTTGTCGACTTGACTGGCCGACGAGTTGGGCGGCTGATTAGCTCCTTGTCTATCCCCGTAGGATTATGCAATTGCGTTTTTTCGCGTAAGTCTGCAACATTTGCATAATTTTGGATTCCCCGCGTTTTTTCACGTTTTTTTCATTTTTCACAAAACAATTAACGCCTCGCCATGTGACTAAAGGGAAGTAATCAGCATAATAAGTCTCATTTAAGTGAAAAATTGGGTATTTCCCTTGTTAGAAGATCTTTATTAATGGTTATGGGTTAGGGCTTTTGTTCCTTGAGCATATTCTATTTTTTTAATTACCATAATCAAAAGTTGTTCTCATGTCTGCTGATGTTTCATGTTTGACAGGTGTCCCTGGTTTTAGGGATGTGCCAGCATCAGAGGTCCAGATGTCCTTTTTTCCATTTTTCTTTCCTCTATAGGTCTACTTTTGAAAGTTACAGAGATTATATTTTTTGGTTGTTGTTTTTTTTCTGACTGGTATTGTTTTCTTTCCAAATACTCAACAAACTAGCGATACTGATATATTCTGTTTTCAATTTTTCTGTATATAAAACATGAAAATTCTTGTTGAAAAAGTGCAAAATATGTCGCAAATGGTGTTACGGTAACTTGCATAATTTTTTGCATAATTAATTTTGCATTTTTCTTGCATAATTTGGCCATCTAAATTTGCATACTTCTACAGGGACAGCCTTGTGAGTCCCGCTCAGCTCCCCGGTCAGTCATGAGTTGTCTTGTCGGTGCGAGGTCATTGTTTACTTGTAGGCTCGTGGCCGCTGCAAGAGACCCAAATTAATACGTTTGAAATCAACAAGGGCAACGGAGAAAGATGCAGCGTGCTTGCACCAATGACGAGACTGGTGTTTTTTCTATTTTTTTAGGGGCTGGAATTGGTGAGGGAGGGGGCAGGAGGGTCACTTTTCTTGACTCTTACCTTCACCTGTAATCTGTTGTTCCAGGCGTGGATGTGTGGAGGGAGTATAGAGATGATCCCTTGCTCACACGTAGGTCACATGTTCCGAGTTCTTCTGCCTTTCTCCGTGGGTCAAAACTTTGACCGAACTTTGACCCGGAACTGTCTCAGGGTGGCGGAGGTCTGGATGGATGAGTACAGGGAGATTTACCGTGAGAGGATAGGGCCACAGATGGTGAGTACAGAGAGATTTACCGTGAGAGATTTACCTTGAGAGATTTACCGTGAGAGGATAGGGCCACAGATGGTGAGTACAGAGAGATTTACCGTGAGAGATTTACCTTGAGAGATTTACCGTGAGAGGATAGGGCCACAGATGGTGAGTACAGAGAGATTTACCGTGAGAGATTTACCTTGAGAGATTTACCGTGAGAGGATAGGGCCACAGATGGTGAGTACAGAGAGATTTACCGTGAGAGGATAATAATAATAATAATAATAATAATAGTAATAAATTACACTTTTATTTGTCCCAGAAGGGCACTTTGTTTTACAATGGCAAACATACATACATAAATACATAATTATAAATACGTACATACACAAATACATACATACATAAATACATACATAAATACACACTGTTACACAAATACAGAACAGTTTACAAACAATGCCACTGCCGGTCGCCACTGTGCAGCGCCCTGTAGTTTGAGCTAGGGTTGTCGTGTCTTGCTCAAGGACACACTCCAGTGACCACCCATCTGATCCCCGTGTCACCGACACTTGCTTGACATTGCTTGAGTCAAAACTCACTACTCACTTAGCCACTGGGCCACAGATGGTAAGTACAGAGAGATTTACTGTGAGAGGATAGGGCCACAGATGGTGAGTACAGAGAGATTTACCGTGAGAGATTTACCTTGAGAGATTTACCGTGAGAGGATAGGGCCACAGATGGTGAGTACAGAGAGATTTACCGTGAGAGATTTACCTTGAGAGATTTACCGTGAGAGGATAGGGCCACAGATGGTGAGTACAGAGAGATTTACCGTGAGAGATTTACCTTGAGAGATGTACCGTGAGAGGATAGGGCAACAGATGGTGAGTACAGAGAGATTTACCGTGAGAGATTTACCTTGAGAGATTTACCTTGAGAGATTTACCGTGAGAGGATAGGGCCACAGATGGTGAGTACAGAGAGATTTACCGTGAGATTTACCTTGAGAGATTTACCGTGAGAGGATAGGGCCACAGATGGTGAGTACAGAGAGATTTACCGTGAGAGGATAGGGCCACAGATGATGAGTACAGGGAGGTTTACCGTGAGAGGATAGGGCCACAGATGGTGAGTACAGAGAGATTTACCGTGAGAGGATAAGGCCACAGATGGTGAGTACAGAGAGATTTACCGTGAGAGGATATGGCCACAGATGGTGAGTACAGAGAGATTTACCGTGAGAGGATAGGGCCACAGATGGTGAGTACAGATAGATTTACCGTGAGAGGATAGGGCCACAGATGGTGGGAATGGCAAACAGTTTCCTGCATTTTATGATTACTTTACATGGTCGCTTTTAAGGACAAACGGGTTAACCCAGAGTTCGTGGTTTTTTCAGAAATCTTGACCTACACCCAAAGTGAGCATTGCCCTACCTATAGAAGAAGTTTGGTTTCATTGGTGTGTTTATTTATTTGGTTATAGAGAAAACTCTCCTTGTCTTTTAAAGAAACAGAACAAGGGGCATAAACTTTGCCGTCGATTTTCTCAAAACAGAATTTTTCCTGATAGCCCCCTTGTGCTTAAAGGCGAGCATATTATGTTTCAATTTTCTGTGTGTATCAAGATTAACTAACATAGGGAGCTTGAATGGACGAGTAATGAGGTAAATCTATAAGGACAGCACAGGCTTTTGGGGTGCATCTAAACAGAGAAATAACTTGCGAACCATGATTGTCGACGTCTGTTCCAGAGCGCACCCTTCGTTATGATGATGATGATGATGATGATGATGATGATGATGATGATGATGATGATGATGATGATGATGATGATGATGATGATGATGAAGCCCAAGAGGCAAAACGTTGAGCTTTGTCTATTGAACAATTTTAAAACATTTAATATTTGTCTGAAAATCAAGCAAGACTCTCCCTTCTACTCTGCTTTCCGAACAACGATGATGATGATGATGATGATGATGATGATGATGATGATGATGATGATGATGATGATGATGATGATGATGGTATTTTATTACATTCTTCTACTGTGTCAGAATACGCTATTATCATATTTCTGTATTTGATGAGAACAATGTCACATTTCCCTCCCTCAGAGTGGGATAGACTTTGGGGACGTGTCCTCACGTAAAGAACTCAGACAGAGACTTCAGTGTAAAAGTTTTGAGTATTACCTCAAAGAGGCCTACCCTGAGTTGTACATCCCTGTCAATGAAACTTTTTCAGGAGCGGTAAGACAGCCTTATATCCAGTGCACATTGCAGATGTATTCGTGAAATGTCCTTGGAATTTTGTTTGATATATTATGCGAGACAGCGTGGTGATATCAAGGGCTCGTCAAAATAATCGAAATGAAGAAACTGGCATTTTCCTGCCCAATGGGTAATTTTTAATGGGATTTTTTCTTATTTTGTGCCTTTAAGACCAATGAAAAAACACATTCCTGTGTGTATTATACTTCTAAAAACCCGTTTGATTTATGGTACACAAAATGAATATATGCAGTTTCCAAGGTCTCTCAATCAATCTTTCGAAATTATGAAACTTTGGCGGCCATTTTCTTGCCCGTTTTACCTCTGAAACCAGCGACCCTACCTTTTTCAATGGCAAATATTTCGACTCCTATTCAAGATAGATGAGTATTTTTGACACCAAAATCAAGACAAATAAACAAGCTTTAAGTTATTTGCCCAAAACTTGACGGGTGCCTGATTCCACCGCGTGATACGACATTTGACAATAACTCACGCTTTCCTTCATGAAGGTGTAAGAGCTACCCTTTGAGTCTTAACACAGTGGAATCAGGCGCTTGTCAATAAATTTTTTAGCACATCATGTTATTGGTATCATCCTAAAGGTTGTTTATTTGCCTTGCTTTTGATGAAAAAAGTATCCATTTACCTTGAATAGAAGTCGAGATATTTGCGATTTAAGGAAGTGGGATTGCCTGGTTTCAGTGGTAAAATCAACGAGAAAATGGCCGCCAAAGTTTGGTGACTTCCATAGATTTAGAGTTCTTGGAAACTTCCAATTTTCATTTTTCGTGCCTTTAATCAACGTTTTCTTATAAAATCCACACTTAAAAGTGTTTTTGAATAGACATACAAAGTTTTTGAGTCAAAAACCAAAATCCGAAAAATATTTCCAAACTGGCCCAAAAAATGCCAATTTCTTCGATTTCATTATTTTGACTAGCGCCTGATTTCACCACGATGCCTCACATTTTTTTGTCAGAAGAAAATAAAATCCACTCAACTCAATTTATTCGTTTTGTTTTGTGTTCCACCTCGCAGTTTAAGGTTCTCAGCTGACAAAACGAAATTAATTCTTTTACTATCTATTTAACTTTAAACTATGGGTGAAAGAGCATTTGAATACCAAGATTCCATAATCTGGAAAGCTTTGCCAAAATTAAACAAAAACAAACACAAAAAAAAAAAACCATGAACAAAAACGACTATAAATAGGCTAGGGAGTTGTGGAAAGGTCGACCTTATTTATGAGCCTCAATAATAATTATATGGTGGGTACAAATTATGTCATGCATCGCATCCAACACCAAAGAATCAAATGGTTCGGACATCTCATGTGATTACCAACACACCACCCAGCACAACGTAGTTTAAGAGAGATAGAGTCCTTTTATTTATTCAAATGTCAGCTAAATTCATTTCCCTTTTTGAATTGATGAAATAAATTTTAATGTTTAGTGAGAGATTTTTTTTTTAATTTGGAATTTGGTTAAACTTTCTACATTGTGAACTAGGTACGAGTCATGAGGATGATCAAGTGTGAAGGTATACGTGTGTGTGTGTGTGTGTGTGTGTGTGTGTGTGTGTGTGTGTGTGTGTGCGTGTGTGCGTATGTGTGTGTGTATGTGTGTATGTGTGTATGTGTGTGTGTTTGTGAGTGTGTGTGATAGCTTGACAGATAAACAGACAGACAAACAGACAGACACATACACGTAGATAGATAGATAGATAGATAGATAGATAGAGAGATAGAGAGATAGATAGATAGATAGATAGATA